CCCCCCCCCCCCCCCCCCAATCCCCGAAGTACTTTTTTATTGCAGATTCGGGGTCCTCTAGTGCAGCGCAGCACAACCCCACCTTCGGGAAGAAAAAAAAATAAAATTCCTTCTATGTTTTTGCGACGCCCGGTTCAGCCCGGCAGAGCCCCCCGGGCCCAACCGGCCGGGGTCCGCCCGGCCGGGCGCCGGCCCAGCCTAGCCTATTTATCCTATGCTTTATGTAGCCTGTTGTATGAAATTTTATCATTCTGACTGATTCCTCAGTCCTGTTTTAATTTATTTTCCTCAACCAAAGAAGGCGCTAAGGTAGATTGTTTTGGACGGAATTTCACCAGCTCAACCCACAAGGGGGCTCCTCTAATTTATGTACATGCATACCTGTGTATGTGGTGTAGGTCGGTCGATGCTCGTGGAAAGTGCTGTTCCAGCCTGAGGGATGAGATGGGGCTCTGCTGCTCTGGGAGTTCACTTGACGAGTGCAACATATGTGGAGGCGATGGGACAAGCTGTGCAGCAGTTGTTTCTCTCACACTTCTTGTGCAGGAGCCTACTGTTCATGCAGATGTCCGTCTTGGACAGACATCAGCTATCAGGAGTGCTCTCATTGTTGAGGTACTAATTGTCCTGTCTCAAACTCCCTTGCCAACATGCAGGCTCTGCAGCATACAACAGCCAGCAGAGAGACATTTGTGGGTACAATGATATGCCCAATCTGGCCCATAAGGCCAAATATGTGTATCTTGAACTGCTCATGTTGCTTTTATCCTTGTTGCCATCATTGGACCACTGTTGCTGTTTGCTGTTTTCTCATAGCAGCTGGTGGTGGTGTTTTGTTACTGTTGTTTGTAGTTGTGGTTATCGATGTTGTTGCCATTGTGGTTGTTGTTCTTGCGTCGCTTGCTCTGCGGTGGGGGGGGGTGGGGGTGGGGGTAGGGGAGGGGTGGAGGTGGGGCTATTGTTGTGGTTGGCGTTTGAACTGGGGTTGGGGCTGGGGTTAAGGCGGGCGTTGTCAGGACGGTTATGGGGTTGCCAGGATTGTTGTTGTGGTTGTTGGTGAACTGGGGTTGGGGCTGGGGTTAAGGTGGGTGTTGTCGGGACGGTTCTTGGGGTCGCCGGGATTGTTGCTGTGGTTGTTGGGTTGGCAGTTGTGGTTCGGATGGTTGTCGTTATTGTGGTGGTGGTAGTGGTTCTGGTTGCTGTTGTACCTCTTGTGTTTGTTATTGATGTTGTTGTGGTGGTGTTGTGGTTGTCGTCATCGTCATCACCGCTGTTGTTGTTGTTGTTGTTGTTGTTGTTGTTGTTGTTGTTGTTGTTGTTGTT